CCAATAAAAAAGGTTGCAATTGTTATATAAGGTCTAACCAAGCAATATCAGCAGACTATGTTATGTTGAGTAATAGAAAATTAGTTTTAGTATCGTGTTACTTGTAAAACGGAATGATATTAAATTTAAAACTATTTAGGTTATATGTTAGAGTATTAGTGTTCGATCAGTGGCGGAACTAGAAAAAAAAGGCCCCCCCCGCAGATTTTTTTTGGGCCCTATATATATATATATATATATATATATATATATATATATATATATATATATATATATATATATATATATATATATATATATATATATATATATATATATATATGTGTGTGTGTGTGTGTGTGTACTACGTATATATTTGTAAGTATATGCGTGTATATGTGATTGTTTATATTATCATGTTTTTTTTATTAAACGTTTTAGTAGTTTCATTTAGAATGTCGAACATATTAAAAAGTAGTCTATTTTTTTTAAAAATTCAAATGTATTTGAAACTACAATATTGTAACATTGTAAGATTGTTTAACAGATAAGGAAACGTTATTCCCAAAAGACAGTCAGCCAGGTTACAAAGTATTTAACACAGCACTAGATAGGTACGTGATGTTAATGTGTGATGAAGGTACGCCAACATCTCAACTCACGATAGTGAAGGATGACGGAAGTGTACTGAACCATACAACAGGTCACAGACTTTCGTACGTCATAGATAATGTGAAGTGTGAGGACAGTGGGACTTATACCTGTGTCGTTAGCACGAGCACCTTTAACTACTCACGTAAAATAAACGTAGCTATTGCTGGGTGTAAGTGTTGGATTTTAATATTTTTTTCAAATACTCTCTACAATAGTATTGATGTAGGTATGAAAAATACAAAATACATTTAAAAACTGGCAAAAAAGTGTTTAAGGGTCGCTCTAAATTTAAAAAAAATTCCATCTGGTACACGAATAAATTAGAGGTTTTCCAACACACGAGCTGGCCCCTTTCTAAATCTAGTCCAACACACCAAACTGAGGCTTTCATCAAAACGTTACCAACCGTGTGCCCTGTTTGCCAGAAGTTGAATTAAATGTTAACAATGTCGGCAGTTCATTTCTTGGATCTTAGAGCGCGGGTTTGTCCACACTACCAACTAGACACGCCAAGGCATGCTGTAAGTCCCTCGGCGACGGCCCAGGTGTCAGGGGAGTCACGGGGCTCTTTGAGCTACCGGTTACATTACTGCACGGGTGATGGGTGCGACACATTGTTTCTTCCGGCAGAGCTCCCCCCCCCCCCCCGACCCCTCCCCCGAAAACAGTCTACCCTGGAAGAAACATTGGTGCGACACCTAATTAGATTTAGTCATCGAGTGTTGTAGCGAGACTTGTGCCTAGTGTTGTGGGAACTTTTAAACGACTGTCTGTGGGGGCCACCTTGCTCATATGTGATGCGCTCAGGATGACACTGCCGCCGGTTGTATTCAAGTAGTAACATCATCCGCTTATGCAGGATCACGGGGGCGCTAAATCACATATTTCCGTTAGGAGTCCCCACTCAAATATGTACAAATGTTAGGCCTATGACAGAAACCTTTGCGGGGCTGTACTCATCAGCTTTCCAAATTTTCATGGCGATTGGGTGAATGATGCAGTAATGCATAATAAAAATAATAGAGAGAAAAATGTTTTTCACATGTACAACTGTCTGTGGCCAGGTCACGCGTTAGATAACCTTCTGATTTATGGGATGGGGGGAGGACTAACAAAAAGCCAGACCCTCACATACCCCCACCTCAATGACGTCATTTAAAAAATACTAATTGACTATTAATAATGTTCAATTAATTCTAAACGTTCTAATTAATTTCTAATTAATAATTATATAAAAAACAATCTTACCTGCCCTGTTTTGTGCATTAGATGTGCCTAATAGGCTAATACTATGAAAGTAAATTAATATCTGTTGACTAGATCTAGTGCTGTCTAGTGTCTGACAAAATGTGCTGAAGTGGTGAATCGTACGGTTAGGAAGTAGTTCATAAACGATACATTTATCTCCTCGATACTTGTGAGGTTGAGAAAGAGGGATGGGATAGGGGTCGGCTCGGGAAAAAACTTGAAAGAGACAACAAAATGCCTTGATCTATGTACGTCAGCATCGCCCATTGTAAAACTTACTCAGGGGAGATAATTTGAAGTATAGTTCTTAAAAGTTTGCTATATTTCTTGTAAAAGCAAAAACAAGTAAACGTATATAAAACTGAAGTTTCTAGTTTTATATTATTTTTTTTAATTATTTGTAGGATACAAGATAGTACAGGATACAAATTCAAACATATATTAACATTGAAAAATGTACAATGGATTTCGGGTCCCTTACCAATGCCGCAAATAAGAACCGTTCATTATGAAAGCCCACTTCATGTGTAGCGGCTTTTCGTGCTATGGACTTTGTTGTTTTTTAAAAAGATATTTGGCGGCGACAGCGTGTGTTTGATTGTAGGGAAATAGAACTCGGCCTTGACGATGGTTAAAAAATACAACTATGAATAACTGTTTTAAATATGTAAAAAAAATTGTCGACAATTTTTGAATCCCCTTTTTGGTCCCCATCCCCTGCCCCATCCACCACAGTACACTTTGGTGGATCGGTCAAACAGTTACGTGTCCTCTATTTAGCTATCGAAGGGGGGGGGGCAACTAGTCAAAGAAGTCATTGAAATTTGAAGAGTTGCCTATATTTTACACTGTAGTTTGTGTAATGGATTTTATCTTTTGCGGAAGAGCGTGGTATAGTGACTGTAAAATAAAGATAATCGTACAGCAGCTACAGTGTTTTTCTTTTACAAACCAAATATTAAGGCAAAAATGCACGAAAATTAAATTCAAAATTTTTAAAAAATATTAATTTTGGTCAGCCGTGGGCCCCTAAACGGCCTGCCCCCTCCCCCCCCCCCCGCGCATTGCGGGGTCTGGCGGGACTGTAGTTCCGCCCCTTTTCATCAGGTAAATCAGGGGTCTCCAAACTAAGGCCCGCGGGCCGGATGCGGCCCGCGAAGTTCTCTCATCCGGCCCGCGGAGATCTTTTTGTCCAAGGAAAAATCGTCTGTTTGTGATGGCTGAGGAACTTTGCCCAGAAAAGTTAAAGACATGCCTGGAAGAAACTGGCCCCCGAACTGAAATTTGATGGGTAATGCGGCCCTCGGACTGAAAAGTTTGGAGACCCCTGAGGTAAATGAACAACTACTGACTAGTGTCTTTAACAAAATGTGCAGAAGTGGTCAGTTTACAGTTCAGTAGTTCATAGTAGTTCGTTAATCTATGCATTACATCTTATTGTAAGAGTAAGGGTGTGGTGAGGGGTAGAGGTGAGGGGTAGGGGGAGGGGGGAGGGGAGAGAGTTGGGAAGGGAAGGGGACAAGAAAGCGCCGATAAACATCTACATCAATAGTGCCGACTTTTTCCGGTCGTCTAGAAGACCAGGATAGTCGCCGCAACATTTCCCCAGCCCGATTTCAAAGCGTACCGGCACAGTCAAATTTCAGATGCTTCGCTGAAGGGAGATAACTTAAACTTTTACAAGTTTATTGATACAGTTGTTTAAGTAAAAATGAACGCAATTATAAATGTATGAGATCAAATAAATAATTCTGTTTTTTGTAGAATTCAGACCAGTAGTTTAAACACACAATCATAGATATGTATTTTAATAATGTAAACAATATAACAATGCTTTTTTGTTCTCCTAATCGACGCCACTAAAAAAGAACGGTAGGCTACGTCTTTGAAGTTGTCTATATGTCTGGCGGTCTCTCGAGCTATAGTCTGCGCATTTTGCTCAAAGACGTTTGCCGACTATCGTGTTTGTTTGTAACTGTAGAAGAAAGATAACTCGACCTCCACCTAATATTTTTTTTAAATAATTTAGCCAGGATTTTTGGGACCCCAATCGGTCTGCCCCCCCCCCCCCCGCATTGCGGGGTCTGGCGGCACTGTAGTTCCGCCCCTGTATTCGATACATTTTTAAAACAAAATTAGCAAAAGTAGTGTACAAGTAATCGAATAAATAAATATTAAATACTTTATTTAAAAAAGTACGTTTACAATATACGATACAGTTCATGATTATAGAAAAGTAAAAGGAATTTAAAAGTATATTATACATTAGTTAAGAAATATTTAAAAAAAACAGACTTACACATTGAAATGTAATACCGTATGAGTAACATGTTATATTTGCAAGCAGTCATACACACCTTGTAAATAAATAATTAAAAATACATTCATTGTAACATTATTTTATATAAGTAATTAATAAAAGATAGAGTTGGGATTGTAAAACATTTCATTCCATTTCAATATCTTAGACACTAACCCAATTTCTAATTTATCAATGCTAAATTCCTACAAAAATATCATGTTTTTATTTTATTTTAATTTTTGTTATTTTGTAAGCATCAGTTGAATTTAAAAAAATTAAAATACAGCAGTATCATCATTATTAAAGTTGTAAAACAGCATAAGGAAATAATAAAGTAATAATTAAGAATATGAGTAATCATCTAATTTAGACATAGCAACAAATATTTATCGATATTGATCAGATAATATTATGGCTAATAACTAACCGTTGATAACGGTAGAACAAACTATAAACACTATAATGGCTACGAGTAGAAATAATGAACGTTAGCATGCACAATATACAAATGAAGAGGCAGATAATTTAATTTTACAATCAGTTACATGATTATTTTTAATTTTTAATTTAACAATTCAAAATAAGGATCAAATAAAAATATCAAATCAAACAACTCTACTAATTTCTCTATTTTATTTACACTAATGATTTTTCTATTAAATTGATTCCACTGGGCTAGAAAAAAAATGAATTGATAATTTAACATCATGTATACCAGCTAGTTAAATTTCATTTGTCAGCAATTGAGATTATCCTCTGAAGTCTAATACTTTGTTTGCAATGTGTCGCGATTTATCTTTAACATACTTTGAGAAGTTTAGCTGTCGTTTGCAGTACTGTTTGTTTCTTGTTGCGGCAACCTAAGGTCAACATCAATATTTTTACTACAAATTGAATCGTCGATAGCATGTGCTACATCCCAAGTATGGTATCCATAAGCAATTGGCAGTGAGGGGTCATCAGGGTCGATGGGATATATATAACTTTGGTCATCAGCATCTACTTTGTTTATTATCAAATTATCCATTGGATCGCGTTTATTCATGTCGTCCTTAGTACTTTTTATTTCTTGTTGTGTTAATCCAAGATCAGCATGGATATTTTTAATGCCAATAGCATCGCCCTTAGCATGTGCTCCATCCCAAGTATGGTATCCATAAGCAATTGGCAGTGAGGTGTCATCGGGGTCGATGGGATATATATAACTTTCGTCATTAGCATAGTGTTTTTCAGTCGTAAATGTATCCGAATAGTTTCCATTATCAATGACATTCATAACGTTAACTGTATCAAGTTTACATCTATCCTCGCGTGTGTTATCGTCAAAGCTTTGTTCAAGTGGTGTAAGAAATCTGTCACTATTTCCGTATTTATTCTCTTTCTTTGTTTCATTTACGTTTTGTTTTTTGTTACCTGAGTCATTTACAGCCACTGTTTGATCAAACGAATGATTCAAAGTCTGGAAGTTGATGAAAACAACCGGCTCTAATGGAATATGATACTCATCGTTGCCTCCGTTAGTGTTATCAACAAGTGTACTTGTGTGATTGTGATCAGAAAACGGAAAATATTCGTTTTCTTCTGCGGGGTAAATATAATTACTCGTAGAATCGTAGGGATTAACACCAAGCTGTTGTTTTTCTGCCTTGATTCCTGTTGGGAGTATGGGCGCATCCATTCGTTTTTTGAATTCTTGTTGTCGTGAGTTTAATTTAGTATTTATTATCTTAGACAGTTCAAGCGTACTGTGTTCAATCGATTTATCGCCAGTTTTTACCGAGGGTCCAGCATCGCTTTCATCAGTATTTGTTTTATTTTTCAAATGACTTTTAAAGCTGGATGTATTCAAACAACTTGTAATGTCTTGAGAAGAGGGCCGATGTTCACGTATAGGAACAAGTCCTAACTCGATGTACTGACACTGTTGTGGACGACACGGCAATGGTGGTACGCTGACTTGTCCATCTCCAGGTTCTGGACATTTTAGGTTTAAGTTAACCATGCACTCCGCGTTTCTGTCCAAGTTAAGGTCATAATCATGGTTTTGATCTCCTTCAGAATGTGTATAAAACTCGTTCACGGTTTCATCAAGAGTTTCATAATCATCTTCAACTGTTCAAATAAACATATTTATAAATGTTTTGAAAAATGTAATTTTAAAAACACTAAATCTAATTTTGTATATATAGGTCTCATTAATTAGAATTCAAAAAACCATTTAAAACAAAGTATAAATTGTATATACTTTCGTTGGTTGTAGTGATTGCAGTTGCGAAGTTTCTGTAAACATAAACAAGAAAAACACAAGCTCTTAAAATTTTAACAACAACAATTATTGATTTGTTTAATGACATACTTATTGCTCTTTACACTAAACATGGCGCCCATCTTTATAATTAAAAGCTGTTTTTTATGTATTAATAAAATTTGCTATACATACAAAATATTGCAATTGATGTAGAAAACATTTGATTGGTCATTACTGATATATGTATTTCTTTAATTGCATTTTCTTTTCAAAATGAGAGAGGGCTGGCCAGAGCATATATAAAAATTATGTGTAAATTAAAAAAATACTCGACGTAATGGATATATACACTAGCTTGTTCACCGTGTTTTATTGTGTCGAAACTTTAGGTAAATAAACTCTTACCTTTGATTTAAGACCCGCATCTTCAAAACTAAAATAAACAACAGAGAATGTACTGTAATGAGCTTATGGTGTATGGTTTTATAATAGATTATTAAAAACTTAAAAACCCGATTAACAAAGTTATTTTCGTTAAAAAAAACGTTTTAGAAAGTGTATTCACTTTATAAGAGAGTTAGGTACATTTTAGCACTTGAATCATTTTACGTTACTGATATAATCTTTTTTTTTTTTAAATGGTTGCAACTATGATAGTCGATAGCTGGTGAAATCAAACTTATCTAAGACTAATCTGTTGACTTCAAGTTGAAGAAAAAAAGAACACATAGAAAGAAAAGCAGGCAGATATCAGAGAAAAGCGGCCATTTATCACATTACATGATACTACGTAATACATACACATGATGAATAAAATCTGCTCAAACATTATAGTTATTATATTGGGAACTAGCGTGCCCGTCCCCGAGCGTTGTCGCGGTCTGACGGCTAGTCACAGTATAGCCCTGGGCAAATCGCACCCTGCCGGGGCGCATGCAGACGCAACTGATTCAATTTTGTGAACGATTATAATACTAAATCTTATCCATACTCTATCACCATTTTTAAAACGTACTTATGGCCCATATCACACAAGGGCTAGTACTGTGCGCCGAATCGCATCATATCGGGGCGTCGGCAGACTCGCCTGATTAAGTTTAGTGAACGACTATAAAGCTCCATCTTATCCATAGTCTATCACACTGTTTAAAACAAAAGTCGGCGCCATTGCGCTCACTGGAAAGCTCATGGCGCCTAATCGCACCATGCAAGGGCACAGAAGAACGCGCCTGATTCAATATAGTCAACAATTATTGTTGCCAATCGTGTATTAGGTGTATAGCCTTTATTTAATACGAACGCTCGCGCCATAATGCTCACATGGAAGCCCGGGCGCCGGCGGCTGTGCCTGTTATATTTTTAACGCTGAATAAAGTAGTACCCTTTACCCGCTAGGATGCTCTATTAATGGATAACAAGTGCTAAGTGTATTTACAAAAAATCGTGCTAAGATAGCCGCTTTGGAATCGTGTATTGACAAAAATTCCACCCTCCGGGACGTCGCCTTTAAGAAATTTGTTCAAAAACGTTCTCAGAAGTATGATAATTAACTCGGTAAAATTTTATGACACTCAAATAAACAGTGTCGAACCGCATTCGAGTTGATTTTTATTTTTATATACCATATATAGATAAAAGTTGTACCTTCCGGGGCGTCGCCCTTGCGAAATAAAAACATATGTTTTTGCAGAAACCTCCCCTGGTGTATTCTCAACAACTTTCGGATGAAAGGTTTAGTAATGCCTAAAAGACAAACAGACAGACCGGCTTGCTATAAGAATAAGAGCCGTATTCATTTATTAAAAGCAACATTACCTCTTCGCGAATAGCAAATATAGCTCATAATTAGCGCAGCGACAATGACGATAGAAACTGTGACTGTCAAGCCGATTTCGATTGTATTTTTTCCAACTGTGTCTAATGTTCCATTTCTTACTGTTGTATTTTTAAGGTAGGTGTCTATTGGATCTGAAATATGTAGAGATTAATAAACGTATACAATTGATATTTGTGACTTCCGCACAAGGTATATACTTTCGGATCATCTTCAGTATATCACATTTAACCACAACTGCTTCCTTACAACACCAACTAGATCCCTCCACTCCCATTTTCCGTACTAGCTCACACTTGTCAACTCAAATTGGGTTTAAGCTTTCAGTGGATTGAAACTGTACATAAAATTACTCTCTGAATGTAACAACGACTCCCTGACTAGTTAGATCTGCCTTAGCGGCCACCTACACAACCACAATCAAAAATTTCTAGCAAACTTCAGGCATATTAATTAAACCAATGACCATTGCTCCCCGCCCCCTCCCCCCATCAGTGCATTTTTCAACAAACACTGCTTTTTTTTCTTACAGAAACATTTACCGTGTCTTTGTTGAATGTATATTTTTATTAGACAATAAGGTCAACTTCTACAAAATAAATTGATATTTCACATTCGTTGGTAATAATAAAACATTATGTTTGTTGAATTCTAGATCCAACTAACTTACAAGACTTGAATTGTTTTCAGAAAACAGGTGATTTTTATACACATCCAGTGAATCAAAATATCTTTTTAATTACAACCTCGTGTTTTAGGGAACATAGTTAGAAATTTCCTGACTATTAAATAGCGCATACACTATTATAATTTAAATCTATAATTTAATTTCTTTTTACCAAACTGTTAAATCATAAATTTATTTAAAGACGTTAAAAAAGTTCAGAACAATGACTTTAGTTATAGTGACGTCACATGATTTATTAACTTTTTACAAATAACATGGTGTCTTCCATGGAAGGTCATGTTGCCCATTTAAAAGTTTAATGCATTATAAAACTTTAGCTTCTGTATATGCGGATCTTTTTAACACAGTACAAATTTGTACCAATGTCCTGTTCAAGCTTAACCTTGTAGATGAGAAACATGGATGGAATTATTTTGGTCTTGTTGCTACTTTTGAGCTTTCTAGTACAGGAGAAGGCGATTGAAATAAAGCTTTTTTAAAGTCTATGTTTCCAATAAACGAAAAAGCAGCTTCTTGGCGTGCCATAGAAAATTCTAGTTTGATTTGAAACTGAACTCTAGAACTATATTAAAGACACATCCCCCATTTGTTTATGTCATGATTGCCTAGGCCTAGTCACAACTTTAGTTCAGCTGTTCAACATTAACCAAACAATTTGAATTCATGAATATGCTACTCTAACATTTTAATATTCAAAATATTATCTACTTTCTATCTCTGACGTAAGTCGTGGTTTTAATTAATAAGGTGATAGATAAAAAGAAAATAAAAGACCAAAACTCGGACCAAATCTAGGGGATCAATTTCCCTTTAAACCGAAACCGTTTCGTTATATTTGTATATTTTATTAGACTACCAGTTATTCTTGAAAAACCGTGACGTCATGATTGTTTGTCGATTTTTATCTTTTCCCTTCCCTTTCCACTGTAACACTTCTACGCAAAAAGCCAGACGTCACACCTCAGACGACATGTGTTTTTTTTTAAAACGCATATTTCGGCAGAGCATGAGTCTGACCACACTATCCCTTCATATGCTGAGTAGTCATTATCATTCAAATTTAAAAAAAAAAAAAATTGAAAAAAAAAAATTGACATTGACGTGATGTGTCTCGAACCCGTACGCATGGTAACTACTACACTATCTCAGCTACCTAGGCACTTCCGATGAGATGCAGAATTAGTGGGGTACTTTACTTAGATCTAGAGTCAGCGTAAGAAACTTGAGTTACGCGAATAGGCCCTATTATTTCAAATTAAATATTTTCCAAATTAGCCATTACCATTGCTAAACAAACAAAGCTTTTTATAAAACTTTTAAGGCCTAAAATAGTTTAGTATATATACTCATTATTGGAATAAATTCTAGATCTAGGTAGAGTTAAATATAGATCTAGATCTAGAATCTACGGCTGACTAAAGTCTAGTTTTTACCGTAGCTCTAAACTCTAAAATCAATATAGATAAAACCCTTTCATTCTTGAATTAGATGATCATTGAAGCTGTTGGAATCTAATATAATAATCATTAAAAAAGTTTAAAAAACCCACGTTTTCTGATTGAACTAAAAAGTAGAAAATAAATACTATACATCACAATAATGCAAGCGATCACTCTACTATAAGCGATGAAAAACGTGGGGCGCCTAAGTAAAAGTTATATTACTATTGATTAGATAATACTATTGACTTTTATTAGGGAGCTTGTAGAGGGTCAACAGTATTAGAAACTGTAAGAAAATCACGGCGCCCCACGTTTTTCATCGCTATTTATTCAACTACTAAGCTTGTTTAAATAAACATAAAACTAACCTTGATATCGGCATTACACGGAGCATCTCTTACATTCTCCTTAGTCGAAACTCCCTAGCTTGCATACCATAACAACCGGTTCCTATCGCAAAACACCGTAATGATGTTTTTAATATTATTTCATCATGACGCCCCTACCTACCTACCTACCTACCTACCTACCTACCTACCTACCTACCTACCTACCTACCTACCTACCTACCTACCTACCTACCTACCTACCTACCTACCTACCTACCTACCTACCTACCTACCTACCTACCTACCTACCTACCTACCTACCTACCTACCTACCTACCTACCTACCTACCTACCTACCTACCTACCTACCTACCTACCTACCTACCTACCTACCTACCTACCTACCTACCTACCTACCTACCTACCTACCTACCTACCTACCTACCTACCTACCTACCTACCTACCTACCTACCTACCTACCTACCTACCTACCTACCTACCTACCTACCTACCTACCTACCTACCTACCTACCTACCTACCTACCTACCTACCTACCTACCTACCTACCTACCTACCTACCTACCTACCTACCTACCTACCTACCTACCTACCTACCTACCTACCTACCTACCTACCTACCTACCTACCTACCTACCTACCTACCTACCTACCTACCTACCTACCTACCTACCTACCTACCTACCTACCTACCTACCTACCTACCTACCTACCTACCTACCTACCTACCTACCTACCTACCTACCTACCTACCTACCTACCTACCTACCTACCTACCTACCTACCTACCTACCTACCTACCTACCTACCTACCTACCTACCTACCTACCTACCTACCTACCTACCTACCTACCTACCTACCTACCTACCTACCTACCTACCTACCTACCTACCTACCTACCTACCTACCTACCTACCTACCTACCTACCTACCTACCTACCTACCTACCTACCTACCTACCTACCTACCTACCTACCTACCTACCTACCTACCTACCTACCTACCTACCTACCTACCTACCTACCTACCTACCTACCTACCTACCTACCTACCTACCTACCTACCTACCTACCTACCTACCTACCTACCTACCTACCTACCTACCTACCTACCTACCTACCTACCTACCTACCTACCTACCTACCTACCTACCTACCTACCTACCTACCTACCTACCTACCTACCTACCTACCTACCTACCTACCTACCTACCTACCTACCTACCTACCTACCTACCTACCTACCTACCTACCTACCTACCTACCTACCTACCTACCTACCTACCTACCTACCTACCTACCTACCTACCTACCTACCTACCTACCTACCTACCTACCTACCTACCTACCTACCTACCTACCTACCTACCTACCTACCTACCTACCTACCTACCTACCTACCTACCTACCTACCTACCTACCTACCTACCTACCTACCTACCTACCTACCTACCTACCTACCTACCTACCTACCTACCTACCTACCTACCTACCTACCTACCTACCTACCTACCTACCTACCTACCTACCTACCTACCTACCTACCTACCTACCTACCTACCTACCTACCTACCTACCTACCTACCTACCTACCTACCTACCTACCTACCTACCTACCTACCTACCTACCTACCTACCTACCTACCTACCTACCTACCTACCTACCTACCTACCTACCTACCTACCTACCTACCTACCTACCTACCTACCTACCTACCTACCTACCTACCTACCTACCTACCTACCTACCTACCTACCTACCTACCTACCTACCTACCTACCTACCTACCTACCTACCTACCTACTACCTACCTACTTACCTACCTAACCTACATACCTACCTACCTACCTACCTACCTACCTACCTAGCTAGCTACCTACCAAGCTACCTACCTACCTACTTACTTACTTACCGTCCTACCTACCTACTTACCTACCTACCTACCTACCTACCTACCTACCTACCTACCTACCTACCTACCTACCTACCTACCTACCTACCTACCTACCTACCTACCAACCTACCTACCTACCTACCTACCTACCTACCTACCTACCTACCTACCTACCTACCTACCTACCTACCTACCTACCTACCTACCTACCTACCTATCTACCTGCCTACCAGCCTACCAGCACACCTGCCTACCTGCCTCCCTGCCTACTTGCCTACCTGCCTACCTGCCTGCCTGTCTGCCTGCCTGCCTGCCTGCCTACCTACCTACCTACCACTGTTACATACTAAAATCTATTTCTGAATCAGTATATATGTATAGTTGTATATGTATTTACAACCATCATCTAAAAACTGACGCTATGTTCACTCTGAGTTGGTTTTCCCCAACCGGCCCCCTTCCCCGTACTTCACCACCTAAAACGGGACACAACATTAATGTCACACCTAGGTATACGCTGGGTAAGATAGACCTAAAGTGACCGGACAGCGGTAAATGAAGTTGAACGCCCCCCAGCCAACCCAGCCAACTGATCTGTTAGTACATTTGGGAAAAACGCGTAATGGGGTACCAAAGTACCTAACCGCCCGAATAATAGCTTTTGAAACAGGTAAAACTCTTTAAGTATTATTTTATTTTTGCAATTACCAGTAAAGAGATGTGTGTGCAATACAGTGATCCAACCCATACCGTATTTTTATTTTAGAAAATTATCTTTAAGGAATACAAAAACAATAGCTAATTTAGAAAATGTGTATTCTGATCTGTAAGAACAATGTTTGAGTTACATGTATGCTATTATTTAAAATGATCCAGTTATTAAATTTAGGTTTAATATAAACCGGGAGTGATCTCCCCTAAACTTTCTCGAATATTCTTATATAACTTGGAATGTAGACATGATTTTTAATTACTTAAACTTTTAAAAATAGAATAGAATCTCATAGAAAAAAACATTGCGCACCAAACAAACGCCGAAACAAAATGTGCATAATAGTGCGCAATATTATTAGTACTTTAAAAATTTACATTAGTTTTTTGAGAAATCGGAAGTAGCGTAAATTACTACTTCCGGTCAACGGAAATTACTCAAAATTTAACAGAAGGTAGAGAATTAGATCTTTTACTTACATGTGAAATTTCATTTATCTATCTGAAATAGTACTCAAGTTATAGGCTTTTGAAAAATTCAAAGTAGAAAAAGTACCACTTCCGGTTGTCGGAAATCGCTCAAAAGTTGATACGGATCTACGATTTTGATATAATACTTATATATGAAATTTCATCAACCTAGCTGTAACGGTACTCAAGTTATCGTGTTTACACACAGACACACAGACACACACACACACACACACACAGACATACGGACAACCGTATCAGTGAGGTGTAAAATGTCGAGATTTGTAAAAATCTCGATTTTTTTTTTGCACGATTACAATACTTTCTCTATACTACGTATATACGAGAAAGTAATACAAATCGAAAAGCGTGGTTTTATACCAAATCTGATTTTAAAAACTTACATTATGCTGTAAGATTTTACCATTTATGATGACAATATATTTAATTTTGATTGTAGACAACACATTTTTGTAAAAACAAATAAAATAAAGTTTTTTACTACATACTAAAGAAATTAGTGATATGTTTTGACATTTACAATTACATTTGTAGAAATATTCATATTTATATTAAGAGAGTGATTATTTCCCCCAGTTCGTTTGTCTTTAATATTCTAGGATTCATTATATTAAATTGTTTTTTTACAATAATTACAAAACAGATTGTGTTACGTTCATTGTATCTTTTTTAAAAAAATTTAGAATGATAAATTGTTTTATTTTGTCGGCCAACATTGTTTACTTATTTCTTCAGAGTACTTTCAATTTATTTTACATCATACCGAAGCAAAGACATACAGCTAGTACATATATATATATATATATATATATATATATATATATATATATATATATATATATATATATATATATATATATATATATACATATATATATATATACATATATATATATACATATATATATATATATATATATATATATATATATATATATATATATATATATATATATATATATATATATATATATATATATACATATACACACCCATAGTTAGCTATGATTATTTATTTCTATGCAGTAATTACCATTTAGTGTAATGTCTTGCGACTTTTTCTTGCAGAGCGATGCTTTTAATGTTGCACAAGGAAAGTCATGCCATTTATCTGTTGTACAGTATTAATGAATTTAATTGTTAACAATTTCTTTAAAGCCAAAGATCTTTTTCTAGTAAAAAAATTACTTTATGTATGCTACACAAACACAATATGAAATGATAATGACATTTAAAATGTAATTATCCAGTACTACACATCATAATAATTTTATAAATAACGGTTGTAAAACCTTAAAAGAAAATATTAAAAACTCTACAATTACCTATGTACTTTGCATGCACACAATGTTCTCTGCTTTCTACATCAAGAGGTTGGTTTTTATCCCAGTTTGTGAAATTCGCAAAATCACCGTTTGGCCATCTAAATGAACATAAAATAAGCATGGTTTGTTTCTTTTTGGATTAAAGGTTACTTACAATCACGTGTGATTTATTTATATGTGTTTTTTTTGTGATTGGAACTTAGGACTTTTTGTTCTTAATTTTATTGTTGGAAGGGATTCCTTAAAACACAATTCATTATTATGTGTCAACTGGTTATGCGCCACATATGCAGTGCAGAGGCGTAGCGACCGTTCCCGGGGACAAACTTTCGTTTTGCACCCCCCCCCCACTCGAACTTTTGATTTGCACCCCCCTCCCTAAAACTTTCGAATTGCACCCCCCTCGAACTTTTGACTTGCACCCCCCCCCCTAAACTTTCGATTTGCACCCCTCCTCCTCGAAATTTTGATTTGCACCCCCCCCTCTCTCAAACTTTAAATTTGTTTTTCCAACCCATTTTGGCGCCCCCCTCTAAGGTCGGCGCCCGGGGACATATGTCCCCCCCCCGCTCCCCTCGCTACGCCTCTGATGCCATGGACTCCGAATTCAGCTTGCTTTTCTTTTTAAATTTGCTTCCATAGCCTTTTTCCAACCAAGAACAAACTACAAGGCAGCAGTAGTTTGATTTTGGAGTTGTCTCTGCTAGAAGAGTTGCTGTCCCCAGCTAACGAGCCTCATCTGCACGGGGTCTCGGACAATTTTTCGTAAATTAATTGTGTACTGTTCCAGCTTTAAAACTTTACATGTTTTGTTACGTCTTGATAAATTGCTTTATATTTCATGTGACGTCACTGTCGTTTCCTGTGAACCTTTTTATTTTCCTTGTTTTTTTTTTCCGGACAGACATACTGAAGAGCGAAACTATTACAGTAGTTATGATATCTTTAAATAGAAAACTACTTGAATGATGAGGTGCTTTCATGCATATCAGGTTAAGTCTCTACTCTCTAATTATGTATGGTTCTATGTTTTTTTCTATCCGTACTTCCAACTGGATTCTTTGTTTTCTCTAAGTAATCCAATCCAAACACTCTCGTTGACCTGTTTGGTAAACAAAGCATTAGATGTATTAAAGATTAAAGTATGTAATACATAAAAGAGTTTAATTTTTGTAATATAATACATGGCAAATATTAATTCAAGCATAAAACACAGGCTCATTTATCCTCTATTTTAGAACATAATGTAGATTTAAAACTAGATTATAAAAAATAAATACATTATTTTTTAAAATTTGGAATTGGATAATAGAATCACGTCTATCACGAGTAAAAGAATAAAGCGTAACATATTGTACCGTGTTACTTATATTGATCATATTCACAGCAATCATGTAAGGTTTGATTATAAATTACAAATCTGATACACAATTATGTTACGAAAAGTTTAAAAAATCTCTAATTATTACAAAAACTCAAGTTTGTTTTTATTTTAATTTTTTTTGTTTGTCTGTTTGGTTACAAGAGAGAATCTGCACTCTGTGTAGAGATGTAACATAAATATTAGGTAGAGAACAATGTTCTTTTTAACCAAACTGTTAATCACAAATTAATTTAAAGACGTTAATTAATTTATTGATATTTTCATTGGTAGATTAACCACTTTAATTATAAAAGTTCAGAATAATGACTTTACTTATAGTAACGTAACATGATTTATTTTTTTATAACAATAATGGCGGCTTCCATCGAAGATTTTGGTGCCCATTCAAACGTTTAACGCATTATAAAGCTAATATTCTGTTGGCTATAGCTTTAAGGATACGACCGTTTGCTATTTTTATTAGGTTTCAATACTATTATCAATTTTCAACAGTTCTTCTAATTTGAGTATACAATACATTTCTCAAGATCTAGATCTAGAGTCTAGAGATCAGCTGTCGGACGAAGAGAAAGTTAGTCCTAGATCTGGAGTCTAAAATTATTTAGTTAAAATTATAAAAACCATTATAAAATTAAAAAAATTATGTAAATATCGCACATTGAGTCATTAGTAGCGTAGTCATTAGAACTTGTGATTCTTACATATTACAAGTAAAGTGTCAAAGACCTTTTTACCGGTTGAATTGCAGTATCTCAATGCTTATTATCAGAAACACGGTACATTTTTATTTAACAGTAGACACATGTATTAAGTTATCGCTTTTCAAAAAATTCACCTACTTTCTGTTTTAGAAACTCCATCTCCTTGTGTGACTCTATGCTAACCAGTTCAGCCCTGCATTTTGAACAGCTGTTATTTGCCCCTACCCATTGTCGCTTTTTATTATTATAAAAATAATAGTTGTCTTCAAAGTTCCACATGAATGATTCTTTACATTCTGCATCTTTAATCGAGTTATTTTTTATAAAGTTTCAAATGCAAGTAAATGAATGAACGAATGAACGAATGAATGAATGAACGAATGAATGAATGAATGAATGGATGAATGAATAAACGAATGAACGAATGAATGAATGAGTGAGTGAGTGAGTGAGTGAGTGAGTGAGTGAGTGAGTGAGTGAGTGAGTGAGTGAGTGAGTGAGTGAGTGAGTGAGTGAGTGAGTGAGTGAGTGAGTGAGTGAGTGAGTGAGTGAGTGAGTGAGTGAGTGAGTGAGTGAGTGAGTGAGTGAGTGAGTGAGTGAGTGAGTGAGTGAGTGAGTGAGTGAGTGAGTGAGTGAGTGAGTGAGTGAGTGAGTGAGTGAGTGAGTGAGTGAGTAAATGAATGAATTAATGAATGAATGAATTAATGAAGAATTAATGAATTTTAATGAATAAATTAATGAATAAATTGAATGAATTAATGAATTAATGAATTAATGAATTAATTAATGAATTAGTTAATTAATTAAACAATTAATTTCATATATATATATATATATATATATATATATATATATATATATATATATATATATATATATATATATATATATTTACAATTACAATTACATACTGAATTCTTCTGGGCAATTCGGCTTATTCCTTCGAACCTTGCAGACATACTTTTTACTTTCATAGCAGTAGTAATTCTCCCAGCGATCTATCAAACATTATAGCATTTTGTTTATATTACCAAGTAAAGCTGGACTGATCTCCAATTAAACTTTTCGCATATTTCTATAAAGCAGTAATGGGGACGGCACTGAAAATCTTATCGGGATTTAGACATTTTTTTTTCATGAATTTTTTTAAAAACCTACATTCTAAAAGTAAAATTTTATCGAATAGATGACAAAATTACGAACTGTTTGAACGCAATAAGTGTTTGTATAATAAAGCGTTAAATTAGTACTTTTTAAAGGAAACATTTATTTCTTTTCTTTTTTTGAGAAATTGGAAATATCATAGAGCACTACTTCCGTTCTCCAAAAGTCACTTAAAATCTCCCATAATAAAGAGAATGAGTAATTATACCTATAGGTTAAAGTTGGTCTAATTAACTTAAACGGTATTTAAATTATCACTATTTAAAAACTTGAAATATAGCAAAGTATCACTTAGGATTTCAGAAGCCAATTGAAAAATTGAGAATAATCAAAGACTATGAACTTATAAATATGAAATTTCGCCTACTTTTTGAAACTGTATACAAGTTAGAAAGTTTTCACAAAAATACAGTAAAATACAACTTATAGGTACCGAGAATTGTCTAAAAATTTATACATAAACATATAAGTTTATAAAACTGCATAAAATATAATACTTTTATAAAAAAATTTCGTACCAAAATTATTGGGTTTTGAGAAACCGGAAGTAAAGAAAGTACTGATAGAAGTTATTGTGTTTACAGACAGACAGACACGGACAGAATTGTTAAGCCAATTTTTAACGACTCGAAAACACTTAAGAAGTATTAATTTTTTTTAGCCCAATTAAAATAAGTCCCCTACACGCCGTATGTGATGAAGTAATGAGTTGTAAAACGGTGAAAACTGCCAAAATTTTCATGTGATTTTTGTGCAAGATTACAATATATACACAATAAGTTCAAATATACACTCATATCTATATGAATGAACAAATGAACGAATGAACGAATGAACGAATAAACAAATTAAACAAATAAACGAATAAATGTTTAATGAATTTTATATATATATATATATATATATATATATATATATATATATATATATATATATATATATATATACATGTATATATATATATATATATATATATATATATATATATATTTATATATAGTAACTGTATGTCATTGCTTTGCTATGATATAAATTAAATTGAAATTAGTACTCTTAGAAAATAAGAAAAAACACACAATGTGGGCCGACAAATTAAAACAATTAATCACTCTAAATAAAAACATACAAAATTGACACACAATACAACCAAAAACAATCAACGCAAAACAATATGTTTTTTTTTATCCTGGTAAGCATTTTTTAAAGCCTTGTAAAGCCTTTTTTAAACGAACTTAGGTGCCATAGAGCTCGCAGGGGAGCCCGGGGCGCTTCGGGTCGTGCAATCTACCCTATGCCGGCGGCTGCGCCTGTTGAATTTTTAACGCTGAATATAGTAGTACCCCTTACCCGCTATGCAGGACGCACGATTAACGGATGCAAAGTGCTAACATAGCCGCTCTGGAACTCTGGGCGCCAAATTGTGTATTGAATGATATCCCACCCTCCTGGGCGTCACCCATATCAAATGTTAATGATTTTGTTCATAGAAACCTTTTTCTGAGTATTCTCATTGACTCCCGAAATGTTTATAGCTCTCATAAAAACGGTGCCGAACCGCATCCGACTTTCATTTTAACACGTTTTTAACACGTTTTTCTTAACTCAGCTTCGCGTTTGTTTGGTTGTTTGGTTGTTTGGATGTTTGTTGTTAAAATTGACATCGAAAATTAGCCCACTTCTGATTGCTCTAGAGACCTGAAATTTGGCATGCATGCTACTTTCGCCTAACAATTTCAGATGCAATCATAAAAACTAGCAATTAGTGACCGTAATTAGCTTAATTTAATTACGCCCCAAGGACCATAAAATTGAGGACATGATTTCTAAAGATACCGACAAGACTTGAGGCCTATTGACACAGTTACTTCGGCCCCAATCGATGTGAGCGCGCTGGCCGTGATCGTATAGTGGTTAGTACTTCGCGCTGTGGCCGCGACAACCCAGGTTCGAATCCTGGTCGCTCAAGATTTTTAGTCCGTGTATTTATAAACACTTAGTCAAGTCATACTTAATCAAGTCATTGGATAAAGTAGAAAATAAACTATATAAAAAACTTTTTTTAAAAACCACGTTTTTCATGTGTAGCAACGGACTAAAAAGGAGAAAATAAAATACTTAAAAAAAACTTTTTAAAAAACCACGTTTTTCTTGTGGACAAAAAAGTAGAAAATAACTATTTACATACATTTGATGACAAAAAACGTTGGTCGGGCAGATGGGTCGGGAAATTTGATGGTGAACGTACCCACGTTTTTTGTCATCAAATGTATGTAAATAGTTATTTTCTACTTTTTAGTCCACAAGAAAAACGTGGTTTTTTTAAAAGTTTTTTTAAGTATTTTATTTAATATTCCGTGTATACAGAAAAAACGCACCCTACCCGGGCGACACCTTTGCGAAGTTTGAAAAAAAAGATATTTTAACTGAAACATGCCTTAGGTGTTCTCCCCAAAGTTTATGGCGATCGGATGAACGGTGTGAAACCGCCATCGTCTTTTATTTTTATATACCATATATTGAGAAAAAAAAACAAATAGCGCCTTGTCGGGATGCCACACCTGAGAAATTGAAATTTTGTTTCGCAGAAACCTCCAAGGAGATTTCTCAACAACGTCTCAAAGTTTCGAGTCGATCGGATGAGAGGTGCGGTAATGCATAAATGACAGACAAACACACACACAGACACACAGACATTGCTTTATACATACATACATACATACATACATACATACATACATACATATAAATATATATATATATATATATATATATATATATATATATATATATATATATATATATATATATATATATATATATATATATATGTATGTGTGTGTGTGTGTGCGTGTGCGTGTGTGTTTGTGTGTGAAAACATATACGTGTACGCATTTTTACACTTTTGTTAGAAAAAAAAAGTAATTATTCTAACACAAGTTATTGGCCAGACCACAGTGTTTTCCATAAAAAGAATTTCCTGGCTCGCCGACATCCCAACGTGCTAGATTTCTGTTTCCTCCATCTTCCCAACTGTGATAGGTGGAAGAATGATAAAAGTTATGATATTATGATTTTGTTTCACTTTGATACAGTCAACTACAATATTTTATTGTACACAATACCTATCCTATCATAAGTAATTAAAACAATACAACAATTTATTTTGTTAATACCGCTGATGATGGGAAAAAATCAAGATACATGCATCTTACTTACACCCAGCTTTTATTTACAATATTTTTGGATAATCCTATCCACACTACTTGTACATTCTGTTTAAAAAAAATAGCTTAATATTGAATATAATAATATAGTTTTATCTTACTAAAGGAATTTTGATACATGTATAATATATATAGGCATATATATATATATATATATATATATATATATATATATATATATATATATATATATATATATATATATATATATATATATATATATATATTCATTATATATACAAATGTAACATAAAGTACCTTTGTTTTTAAGAAATCGATCTCCTCTTGACTTTCCAACGAAGCAAGATTAGCGTCCAAACTTAAACAAAAGTTCTTCGAATCGGTCCATGTTTTTTCTTCATTTACTACAAGGTAGCAGTGTTCATTAAAATACAACCACCGCCTATCTGGACATTCTGAAAAACATATGATTCAAATGTAATTATATATATATATATATAGCTGCAAATTGTTTTTTCCGAAATTTAAAAATAAATTTGCTAAATTAGTAGATAAATAAAGTATTTTTAAAAATCTCTCAACTATAGAGCTCTTAAATTGTACCAGAGTATTTTTTGGTTTACATACTTGTATCTGAGGTGCTGATTGCAGTAATATGCTTAATTAAGAACTTTATTTTGCACAATGAAGATTTAAGTAATTCACAATTTAATGGAAGCCATTTTCCTAAGAGAAAATTGAAAATAGTTTTAACATAAGTAGATTATCAATTCATTAAAATATAAACTATTTCGTACCCTGAAAATATATTAAAGAACTTCGAAATAGAAATTTCAAATTTGCATTTTAATGGTATGAGAGTGAATTCCAGTAGCGTACGCAGGGGGGGGGGGGGGAGCAGGGGGAGGGCCGACCCCCCGTCTGGCCATTTTCAGCAAGTGGCGCCTTTTTGGAAACTTTTTAAACTCAAAGTTTTAAACAATGATATTTGTTAAAAAATATTTTTGGTCGGCACATCTATGTAAATCACAAGATTTCTTTTCATGCAGCAATTAAGCATTATTGTACAAGTCTAGTAGTGTCTACGTTTACAACACGTATTAACAGCTGCATCAGTTTGCCATTCTAAAAATAACCATTACGATGCATTGCAATGTTTAAAAAACCTCTCCGGGTAGTACAACTTGGCAAGAGAGGTGTTAAGTTTAAGGCAACTGTATAATGTATTTGCTTACGAATAATTGAATTAGAAAATGTTATACATAAAACTTCACACATAATTTCTTAATATATTATACAATTTGAATCGTGTGATTAATTTTTAAAAAATTACAATACAGAAACAAATACAACTGATGTGGCACCTCTATTTAAGTTTACTTATGAGCAAACTGCGTAGTGGCAACAACGTCATCACGATGAAGTAGTAGTATTCTTACAGTTCGAGCGATAGTGATTACGATTACAAATTATATGAAAGAGTTACAACCCCCCCTCCCCCATAGACCCCTCTGTAAAAAAAATATTGTCATAATACCAATGCTACTTATTTAAATCTATTTCTGTAATATATATGTGTGCAATATATATTTGTGTAATATATATGTATGTTTAGAACAGTCATCTAAAAACTTATGCTATGTTCACTCTGAGTTGGTTGTCTCCCCCCCCCCCACACACACCTCACCACCACAATTGTGTAGAGCGACATTAATGTCACACATAGGTATACACTGGGTTTGATAATTGACCTAAAGTGATCGGACAGTGGTGAATGAAGTTGAACCCACAGCCCCCCCCCCCCAACCCACCCCGAACTGATCTGTTAAGTACATGTAGAAAAACGCGTAATGATGTACCAAAGTACCATGCCGCCAGAAAATTAGCTTTTTAAACGTAAAACTCTGTGAATATTGTTTTTGCAATTGCCAGTAAAAAGGTTTGAGATCAATACAGTGATCTAACTCATAGCTATCACTATATTAAAAAATGATCTGTAAAGAACACAAAAAAGTAGCAGTTAATTAAAAATATATGATCTAAACTAAAAAACCGATATTTAGTTAAATATAGGCTGTTATTCCTGATGTTTTTCTATCATATCGAAAAGCGTGCTTTTATACCAACTCTGATTTTAAAAACTTTTATTATGTTGTAATACTTTAGCATTTATGATGGACGATATATTAAATTATGATTATAGACAAAAACATTTTGTAAAAACGAATAGTGTTTAAACAATTAGATTATATTCTAAAGTAATTAATTATTTGTTTTGACATTTATAATTAAATGTGCAGATATATACATATTTATATTAAGAGAGTATATATTTCCCCTATATCACTTGTCTTAAATAATTTCCAGGAATTATTATGTAAACAAATGTGTTTAAAAGAATTACAAAACAGATTGTGTTACGTTCATTGTTTTTGGTTGTAGTGTGTGTAGATTTTTTGTTGTTGTTTAGATTGATGCAATTTTTGTTTTGTCGGCCTATATTGTGTGTTTTTTTCTTATTTCTTCAGAGTGCTACTTTCAATTTATTTTACATCATAGCGAAGTAATGACATACAGCTGGTAATTATATATATATATATATATATATATATATATATATATATATATATATATATATATATATATATATATATGTATATATATTACAAATATATAGAACGTGTTAAAAATTCGGCGCCTTTTTTTGCTCTTTTTCGCTCCCCCTACAACGAAAACCTAGATACGCCTCTAGTGAATTCATATAGAATTCTCAGATATTAAAGGCGGCTGGGCATGGAACTGATCAAACGATGCCTCTTTATTCAGATGAGAAAAAATAAAATCATTGTGTCTGATTTATTCATGTCTGATCCGGAACATAAATGTATAAAATAAATTTAGCTTTTTTTAAGTAAATTATTCTTTCGTCGCATTTACATTTAAAGACTAAAGATAATGAACTAAACATATGAGCTGTTAAAAAAACATGCAATAAAGAAGTTAATTAATGACCTGTATAGTTTAAAGCTACACAAATATCGCCACACAAAAATCTTGTTGAACTGAAATCTTCCCAGTTAGTAAACAAAATTCTGTTCCCGTCCAACCGTCTAAATAAACACAAATAAAATGTATTATTAAAGATAATTAATTAAATTAATTTTAATACATTCAAAATATAGCATCCGAGAAAAGTTTCAGGTTTTAAACTGTAAATAACTTACTTCCAATTTACTTCATCTCTAGGTTTATAGATACCGATCCAAATATCTGTTCTGTTATTTAGCTTGAAAGAAATAACATGACATATCTTAAATCACCTGTGTTTATGATAACAGTTCATGTATTGAAATAGTACGTTTATTTTATCAGACGATCGTATATATATATATATATATATATATATATATATATATATATATATATATATATATATATCTTTACATATATATATATATATATGCATATATTCATTCATACATACATTTATATATATAATTATATTCATTTATATATATATATATATATATATATATATATATATATATATATATATATATATATATATATATATATATATATATATATATATATATATATATATATATATATATATATAAATATATATATATATATATATATATATATATATATATATATATATATATATATATATATATATATATATATATGTTTGTGTGTGTGTGTTACGGTCAAAGCCCGAAGTGCGGCCAAAGCACGCATTGGCCAACTTTCTTGGCTAAATGCGAGCACTGGCCGGGACGTAATTGCCAAATTCTAAAGAGCTTAAACTTGACAGCTTATTTCGTACATGGCCGGTGTAATCGCGTTTTCAGTATTCAGGGTGCGGTTTCATTGTACCGTATTATTTGGCTCTTGTGTGTATAGCATTCTATATGGAATGCAACATGGACCAAAAGAGCTGTCAGATAAAGATACAGACTGCTGCCAAAAGAAAAGAAATCAAATTCCTTGTTAGTTTCATTATTTGGGTTACTACTATATGCGATAGCCTCCTCCATGACGACAAGGTGCGACAATCGTGAAAGAACAAAATCAAAGACAGTCGGCGTCACCGACCACGTGCAACAACACAAAACATTCGAAGAATTGGCCATGTTCGATGCTATCCTTGTAAGTTGAACAATAGAGTCCAAGCTACTTAAGTTGACGTGGGTGTCATATTTCGCCAACAAAAGGGGAATACAAAAGAGAATTTGAAAATTAAGTTATTTCTGAACTAAAAACAGGTGGACTGAACTTAAACTAATTCACGGAAAACCAAGACAGCCAAAACCAAGAGAATATATATCCGTTGTCGCGTAAATAGAAGAAAGTCCGACGAAATATATAAGGGATTCATCCATGCGTTACCAATCCTATATTCTTAGACTCGTGACCTTGTTTTCTAAAAGTGAGTTATTTAAATGTAAACCATGCCTGCGATTGGATCATAAATATCGGGACACGGGTTTGCCTACACTACCGCATGAAAACCTTCTGTGTACATTAATCACTCACCGAAATAATATGGTAGAACACACTTCGGTGACCGCCCATGTGTCAGGGACGTAGAGGGACTTTCTCTTGAGCCTACCCCCCCCCCAATTACAGTACCGCATAGGCGCCGCGTACGGCCCCTGGCTCCTTAAAACTAACAGACGCCATCGTGCCAAATAGCATCCAGTTAACAATGATGCAGATTGCG